CCCTCTGGGGTATCAGCTACTCCTCCCAGTTTGGTATCATCAGCAAACTTGCTGAGGGAGCACTCTGTGCCTTCATCCAGGTCATTGATGAATAAATTGAACAGGACTGGACCAAGGCCTGACCCCTGGTGGACACTGCTGGCCATTTTTTTTCGTTTGAAAGTGTGAGCAGCTTCTTAATTTTCCATTGACTTTTGGCTTGTGTTTGACTATTGAGTAAAGGTAGTGCCACAAATTGGCAGAAAGTAATTGCCAATCTTCAAATGCAAAATTTGCTCTTTTTGGTGCTGGTGTGATTCCCATATGTCAAAGCTGTGACATGTAACTGTCTAGCTGTGCTTGTTTAATTTGAAATGCTATATATTCATAATATTTGCCAAAATCAAAAAAATGAATGTGTCATAATATTTACTTGGGCTTTCTAGTTTTCCTGTGTTGATTAACAAAAACAAACAAAAAATAGCCAAAGAAATACAAAAGGCTGTGGTCACACTGAAGAGTAATTGCCTGGGGTATGCAGTAGAGCGTTAGCTCTCTTGGTTTCTATGATTGCTACTATGTTTATTGGAATGGAACGTGAAATGCTTTTCCCTGTTTTTTTTTTTTTTTTTTCTACTTTACTCTCATAAAAAGAAAGTGGAAGTCAAGGTAGGTATTTAAGTTCCTACAGAAATTTTTGTAAAATTGAGGGAACTAAAGCTCACTGAATGGGAAATTTTGCAATTACCAAAACACAGTAAATAAAATACCCTAACTTTCGTAGATAAATTTTAAATAGTTTGGATAATTCATCTGTTCCTTTTATAAAAGAAGGGACAAAGAGTACCCTTCCTCTCTTTTACATTCCTCTGCATTCATTGATGACTCTAGTCTTGAACTTACATTTACAACTTGATAGTAACCAATAGAAATTAACAATACTTGTACTTCAGTATTGGATGTGGACTGCCAGACCTACAAACCTTGTTTTAGCTGATGCAAGAAAACAAGAATCCCACATGTCTTGAGAAATTACAGTGAAAAAATGTGCTATGGGAAAACTATGTTAAAATTAGAATAAATAATAAAAGCAAGTTACTAAAATTCCATTGTTATTGCTGCAAATGTATTTTGCAGGATTGCTGATGCTCAAGTGGTAGAAGTTCTAATAGCCTGTTAGCCTTTTTTAGATTTTCTTAGAGTTGAGCATTGTTTCTACAATAAGTCATCTTGGAATTGAAATGCTAGTTCTGTAAACCTTTAGGAAAGAAAGGGAGAATGCCACACTTTGCTGTTTGTTTACAGAATTGTCACATGCCCCCCTGTGTAAATAGTTGTCTCAGTTCCTCTGTATACTGCTCTTGGTGAGTATGGAGATTGAATGCACTGGAGGTCATGTCACCTTGACTATCACTGTCTTTGTACCTTCCTAGCAGCATCTGTTCTGGATTTTGTTGTGTGGCAATCCTGTGCCACGTGCTCTAGGTGTCCCTGCTGGAGCAGGGGGGTTGGACTAGATGATCTCTAGAGGGCCCCTCCAACCTTGACCATTCTGTGATTCTGTGATTCTTTGCTTATTTATTTTTCTTTAGAATTCCTCTTCTGGAGGGGACACATAACAAGCTTCTCTGAGGTCTTGTACTCTTTTGTCCCAATTAGCAAATCGGGCTTGCTGGGTCTGCAAACCCATCAATCCATTGCAGGAATGTAAGGCTTGCAATATAGCACAGTCCTGGATCTCTTTTGGTATTGGGGTACCCAGGCTTCTTTGCAGGACAGGGTTTCATTTAGTGCTAGAAAAATTATTGCATTTTGAACATGTGAGAGCAAAAACTTCTGTTTAGCAACATAGGTACTTTGATGTGTGTCAATAGAGAAAATCATTTGTAAATTTAAGAAAGCACATTTTGAAATGTTACAAAGCTTTAGCAACATGAAAGCTTACTATCCACTTTAAATCATTCAGCAAATTATTCTTTTTTTTATTTAGAATGTTTGATAGACCTTGAACCAGTCCTGAGAACATTTGATGAAATAGCTATGCTGGAAGCAGTAATTCTGCTAAAGAGATCAAAGGTAAGGAGCTTTTGTTACAGCGATAGAAAATGAGTTGGTAACTTCTGTTTACTACAGGAAAAGTTATTTCATTTGTCAGTTATTCCACATTTTTAGGCTAATCTTGTATCTAAGTACGTGCTTGTGCAGACCTGTCATCCTGTCTTGTAGCCAGAAGTTAATATAACACATGTCTCTTTCAGTCCCTGTATGAATCACGGTGTATTCACAAGAGTGGAAAGAAAACTAATGCAGATCAGACATTTCTAAATATACCCCTGAATCCTAATCCACAAGAGGTAAATATTTTACATGTTGTATGTGGTCTTTTCTTGATATCTCAGCATCACTGAAGAACTTGAGAGCTTTAAAAGGCAGCAGAGGAGGTTCATTTAGTACGGGGAATTGCTCTGCAGTTATCTCCTTATGCGGTCAGGAAAGGCATAAAGTGCATTGGCTGAGTCAGGCTACAATGTAAGCATAACCATATAGATGGAAATAGGAAAGGGTGGGTGAAAAGAAATAAGAAGGCCATAGTCAGTGTATTCTCAAAGTGTGAGAAAGCATCCCTTCTAAGAGGAGTGCAGCACACAGGGTCTGCAATGTGCATTGCAAGAGATTGTCTTCTGCTTCCTTCCACTTTCCTGTACCTTAGTTATATAGGATCATATAGATTTATTTTTAAATTTTGATTCATCTTCTTGCTTCTCTTAATTCTTACTGATATTCCTATAACAGAAAATGGCTGTCAGCTTTGGAAAAACACAGATGTTAGGATTATGTGTCATTTTTTTCCTGTCTTACTGTATTTTAGTTTTCCTAGCCATTGAGCACTGAAACTCTAGGAACTAAAGACAGTGATGGGAAGGTATTCTGTAAATCACTGCAATTTAACATATATTTTTATTATATAACTGGATTCATTTTAGGAAATGCATTCTGCTTCCATACAATATGATGGACTTCCTCTTCAGAGCATCCCTCCAGATGTATCAACATACAAGTCTGTTCCCAAGTACAATATCCTCTCATCAGGTAGAGACATTCATGACTTCATATCAATTAAGTTACTGTTGTGACTTTATGCTCCCATTTTGACACTGTGTTTGTGCATTAGATAGTTGGATTCCTGTTTATGTCAGAAAAGAAGTGCATTTCATTTCTGTAAGTTTAGTCCTCTGACTGAAAAAAAAGGAGTGTGTATTAGTTCTCTTTTTCTGTCACTTGGTAAATCCCCATGCCTCGCAGCTTCAGTTTTCATATTCAGGGTAAGGAGTGCAGTAACACTGTTTGCTTTTCCCTTCAGACTCTTTGTTTAGTTAGTTGTTTGTGAAGTGCTCCTGAAAATTAAAAGTCTAAACATTCTGAGGGGCTCTAACAGCTGAGTAAACTGAAAATTTCTAATAATGACCTCTAGATCATTTCTCTTTCAATAAATAAAAAAGATACAGTTTCAGAAAAGTATAGGCTCAGATCTTTTCCAGTTATTATCTTTTGTCCCAAAGGTTGAATGAAAGTTGGCAAAATTCCTAAACAAACTTAATTTTGAAGTATTGCTGACATCAGAGGATCAAAATACATGCCTCCATAGCATCAAGATGCAATGGGAAACAGATGGAACAGCAATGCAGTATGAAACTAAATGTGCATTTAACTGTTTCGTTTTGAAAGGATGCAAAGTTATATATTTCAAATAAATGAAACATCCTGTGTCACTGCAGCTCCTGTTACAACACATCTGCAATTCTGAGCAGATACTTAATGTATGAGAAAGATAAAAATGCAGTCTGAAATTCCAGGGAGAATACAAAAGATAAGAAACTTGAGGGATTTGAGTTAGTAAATGGCAGCAAGTAAGTGTACTGAAGTTCCACTGCCTTTCAACTCAAGTATTTATCAACATACATATCAAAAAAATTTTACTAATGAATCTGTTAAACTGTCACAAGCTGCTCATCTTTTATTATAAAAGCCATGATTTTGTCCACATACAAAATACATCAGTGGCTAATGAAAGGGAGCAGTTCTGGTCATGGCATTGATCTGTGATCTCTTTCTAACCGCAATCAGAAACAATGGAATTGCCGCGATGACTGTGTAAACCCTGTCAATTTTGAAATAGTTGACAAGAAGATCTTGTTTTCATATGAGTGCTGCCTAGAAAAAATATATGAGATTCTTCATATAGTTTCCATTCTTTGTTCTTTCATTGAATTATTTGTGGGAGATCACAGAAGATAATATTCCATAATTTATTTGGTGGGACGCAGCTGTGCTGTCCTTGTTATTCTGGCCAATATAGTTAGCTATAGTTTGTCCTAAAAATTTTTCTTTCTAGGAAAACAGGAGATTCATGACGGTGACAATGAATCAAATCAAGTGTAAGGTGCAGATTGCAACAGTAAAACAGTGAACAGTAAAAATCAAAAGCTTGGAACTGTTGTCTCCTTTAACTGTTTAAATGTTGCGTGATTTGTTTCAGGTAGTACAGAAGAAGATACCTCTGTGTCTCTGTTGTTACTAGCAAATAGTTCACTTGGACTCTTTATCTGCAGACTTTTAGCAGCATTCTAACTTTTTAATTTTTTTCCCTTATGTGAATCTTCAGAAATATTTTCAGCAGTTGTTCCAGAATAAAATCTGTTCCCAGGTGTTTTTTGGCAAGAGATGAGTTTGGCATGGCACCAAGGGAGAAGTTAATGACTATATATTTTAGTGGAGTTGTTTTTTTTTCCTCTAACAGTATAAGGAAACGTTTTCAGGAACTTGTTTTTTCAGGATTAAAAACTGACTTGCAACTTCCAGCCTCTTTTTTTTTTTTTTTAGTCAGTTTACACCTACTTGGTTTTGGGCTTTAAGCTTGAATGGCCCTTGGTAATCCCTTTGTACCCTTTGTTTTGCCAGGTAAAAAGAACATGCTGTTCTGAAGTCCATTTGTAAAATTGGCTTCTTCAGTCTCCTGGTATCTTGCTGGTCCTGTGTATGTTGTAGCTTAGATGACTAAGCTAAGGCTTCCAGACCACTTAATATTATTAGAGAGGCTTTATGAAGTATTTTGTCATAAAAGTTTTACCTGAAACATATTGGGATTTTATATTTTCTTTCTCGCAAGCATTCTTTGTTGCAGAATACCTAGTTTGTTTATCCCTCATCTCTATTTGAAATCATTAACCCCAACTTGAAGCAGAAATCTTGATCTTGTATTTTGTACTACCTAATTTCCACTTCTGTCTCTCCAGTCTTCTAGGTCAACCTGTTCTTTCTGAATAACCTCTGCCAGTTTCATTAGTGTGTTTTTTTTTTTATGCCACGGTCACTAGTCAAGGCTGTTCTTCCCTACTGGTACAATCTCAGTAGTTTTCTCTCTAATGTTTAGAGGTCTGTAGCAGTCTATCCCAGGTGAATCTTTTAAAATCCTTTTATGAAGGGATTTTTCACTCAGAGCTGTTCCTTCCTTTTCTCTTTCATGTAGTATATGTCATCTGCTGCATCACATGTATATAGTTCTGCCCCGCTGACTTATACTGAGGTTTCTGTTCCCCTTTTTAATAATCAGGGTGTAACTTATTTCACCTTTACCTATTCCCATTCCCACTTGTGGCCACATTCTTTCACAGGTCAACATCCTCATTTAGGAATCTACCTTCAGGTCCCCCATGAGATATATATATGTAAATCCTGAGTTGTGCATGGAGCTGCCTTTCTTCACTGTGTCTTTAGATGCTCATCTCAATTCCTATGTCTGCATCTCAGATCCCTTTTTTTTTTCTGAAGCTCTTTAACAAGTGATTCCATGAGAGACTGTAATGAAAACTGCTCACAGAATTAGGCGTATGCCATGTAATTTGTGGCTGATTGGCTGTTTGTCATCCCTTCTCTGAGTCATCCCTCTTGTTGCTTCATATTCATCATCACCTTTTTATGTGACCTGATCCTGGAAATAGAAACTACTAAACTTCCTATTTAATAATACTATTTTTTCCTCTTTCTTTGTCGAAGTTCACATGAAGTTTCCTTGAAGTCCTGTGCTGTTTTGACAGACCAGTGAAAGCTTCTGTTGGCCTCCCACTGAATGTCACTGTTGGCCTTTGTGTTGTTTCCTTCCACTTAGTCTTTTAACCTTTGTTGTACTGTCAAAATCCATCAAAATTAATTAGTCAGCTTTCACACCACCTCCTAGCTACCTCTCCCAATGATTTGAGAAGTCATTTTTGGTCTTCCAGTCCCTACAAAATCTTGTGTAGAGCAGAGCTTTTTAAAGTTCACATTTACCAGATATGTTTGTTCTTTTAAAATGAGGCAAAACATAAAGAGTAGCAAGCACTCAAAACCTGATAGGAATCAATGGGCAAAAATATACTCAGAATCTAAGTGCAAGGAATAATGTATTTGAAGAGAATTTATGTTGTGCAGGATTTGTTTTATGTAATTCTTCTAAATAGTCTCTGATGCTTGTATTTTATTTGAACACAAAAGTGATACAGCTCTTTCTTTTTAGATGGAAATTCAGGAGATCTTCACTCCCTCAGCAATCAGAGCATGGATGAAAATATTTCTGTTACCCAAAGCGCTAAACTTCTCGTGCATCCGTACACGGATTCGTTTACATGTTCTCCTTCATCTGACAGGAGTATTTCAAGTGCCTCGAATTCTGCTCCGTGCATGCTGCGCTCATCACCAACTCCCCCAGGTATAGCAAACACTGACACAGTTCCCAGGCCCACAGTATGTACCCCCGATTGAATATATCCTTGTGTGAAATGGAAACTAGAACTGCTGTAATCAATAAAGTGAAAACAGAGCATGCTTCAAATAAACAATGCACATAATTATGTCCTCAAAGCCATATATTCCAAAGTGAGTAAAATTGATAGATTATTTCACTTAAATACATGTACCTGTAGTTCCTAACTTTTTTATTTGAGCAACTTTAATTACTGCTGCTCTGGTTCTGCTTTCTCCCATTCCGTTCACCAGTATTATTTTCCCTTTCTCCTACTGCTCTAGCAAAGCTGCAGTCCAGCAGATTGGGAAAGTAAGTTCACTGGAGATGGGTTAAACTCTCACTTACCTCCAGTCTGTGAACTCTCTGGATCTGTGGACTTGTCATTTGCCTATTAATAAAGATGGGGCAAAGAGAAGCAGCAGCTGTCTCATCTGTAATGCTCTTCAGCATTAGTAGAGAATCACTGGACAGTTTTTCTGTGTATCAAATAGCCATTACAAATGTGTTTACAAAGAATGAAAACAAAAAGAAACTTGAGTGGATGCTGAATTATTCAGCGATTTATTTATTTATTTATTTTATGGGTTGCATGATAACTTTGTAAAGATCTGCCACATCAGCCCTCTTCTGAAAGTTACAGTTCTCAATAAATGTCTGTAATGAAATTTAACAGTCCTTCTTTAGAGCACTCTAAAGTTACTCTGTTTGGTTCCAGTTTCAACAGTTAAAGGATTCTGTGATTCAGTCTTACATGCCTCATATTTCTAGATGTCTATCATGACCTAAATTTGCTCTTTGAAACTTGTCTCAGATGGAATCTGGAATTTTATTTTGTGAGAAGTGGCATATGCTTTGTTCCATTAAACAAGTTCCCTTCCCTTTTCTGTACAACTGCAGCACAAGAAAAGGAGATGTGAAAAACACACATAAAGTGTGTGGAACACTTGTTATATTTGGAGTCTTCATTCATATCATTACTAAGAGAAATTAAGATTGCTTTGGGCAGTTGAGAATATGGAAAATATTTGACTGAGACTGTGAGTGATTATTCAGAAAGGCACTCACTTAAAAAATGCTTTTAGAAAGAGAGCATTCTTCACTAGAAGAAACAAACGAAAAATGCCATGAGAAAGGACAGATGGTTTTTCATCCATCCAGAAGAGTATCTACACACAATCTGGAACCAGATGCAGGTCCCTATTGTGGTGTGGGGCTCTAGCAATATGAGGATCTTGCACTGTTTCACTGTATGAGCCCTCTGCTTGAAAAGGGTATAGAGGAATTCACTTTCAGTAAACTTCTCTTTCCAGTGGGATTTTTACTGAAATAGTTAACTTATTTCTTTTTACTACCAAGCTGGGTATTTATCACCAAAAAAAATTTTCAACATTTTGGTTTTTTGCTTGCTATTATTTTTACATCACTATTAATTAACAGATGGTTACAGTGCTAATTACTAATTATTATTATTTTAAAATTTTTTCCAGCCTCAGATTTTGTTTTGGAAGCCATGCAACCTAATGTAGCTCACCAATGGATCCAAAGTAAAAGAGAAGAAATTATTGATCAGATGACCGAAGCATGTTTGAATCAGTCACTAGATGCTCTTCTATCAAGATTTTTACTCATGAAAGAAGACTATGAACTTATAAGTACCAAACCTACAAGGACATCAAAAGTCCGACAACTGCTTGATACCTCAGATAGCCAAGGAGAAGAATTTGCCAGAATTATAATACAAAAGTTGAAAGATAACAAGCAGTTAGGACTTCAGCCTTATCCAGACATTGTACCTACTTCTCTGAGACTGCATCTTTGAATTTATTGCTTCTATATGAAGCTGTGTGAATATTTCTTACAAGAAGGATTCTTGTTTCTCTATGGTAGTTTTATATCTGTGCTGCTTTGTCTTTACTATGCCTTTGTCTGGTCTCAGCAGAGACACTGGGTCTACCTAGACTGCATTTGGTGAATTGCCACTTAGTCAATTGGAGGGCAACCATAAAGCCAAACGCTGCATAACAAAAACAGCATAAGTATTCCCTGTTGTACTTTTTTTTTTCGGTTTTTACATAGCCTTTCCTTTCAGCTGACATCACTAAAAAACCTTTCACAAAAGCTTATTTCCTATTTAGCACATCTTCTACAGAAACCACCACCAATGGGAATTGGTCATTCTCCTCCATCTGGTCTTTCCTTTGGAGAATGAGATCTAGGTATTCTATTTACAGGGGCCGGTGTGCTGTTTTACAACAACTTGCTTTGTCTTAGGCATACTGAGCACTCCTCCCAAGACATCTGAGAACAGCTGTAGATGGGAAGAAGCATATGTTGATTTTACAGGGCTTTAATTAATAAAATTAATAAGTTTATTAAGGTATTAAGTTAACCATGAGTCAGCAATGTGCCCTGGTGGCTAAGAAGGCCAGTGGGATCCTGGCTGCATGAGGAGGATGTTGCCAGCAGGCCACGGGAGGGGATCCTGCCCCTCTCCTCAGCTCTGGTGAGGCCGCACCTGGAGTATTGGGTGCAGTTCTGGGCTCCCCAGTACAAGAAGGACATTGAGCTTCTTAGAGAGGGTCCAACATAGAGCCACGAAGATGATTAAGGGCCTGGAGCATCTATCTTATGAGGAAAGACTCATAAGCTGGGCCTATTTAGTCTAGGGAAGAGAAGGCTGAGAGGAGATCTGATCAACCTGTTCAAGTGCCTGATGGGTGATTATAGGGAGGATGGGGCCAGGCTCTTCTCTGTGGTGGCCGGTGACAGGACAAGAGGTAGTGGGTGTAAGTGAGCAGTTCCATCTCCACGTGAGGAAGAACTTCTTTCTTGTGAGGGTGACAGAGCCCTGGAACAGGCTGCCCAGAGAGGTTGTGGAGTCTCCTTCCCTGGAGATCTTCAAACCTCGCCTGGATGCCACCCTGTGCCACGTGCTCTGGGTGTCCCTGCTGGAGCAGGGAGGTTGGACTAGATGATCTCTAGAGGACCCTTCCAACCTCAACCTTCTGTGGTTCTGTTATTTCGTCTTCCCCATCTGGTTGCCAGGGCAAGCACTTCACTGCACAAGACGTGCAAGTGTCAGTCAAAGGAGGAACACAGGAATCAAGGACACAGAGCTGATTGATTGTCACTGTTGTGCTAAAAACTGATAGGTTAGAAAGAGTAGAGCCTGATTCGGTTACATCTCCTTAAATTGTTCTTGCAAATAAAGTATGATTAGAGCAACATACAACTTGTAATGTGTAAGGGAGCCCTCATTTAGTGCCTGTTACCTTTGTGTCTCATGTAAGTACTTCATATCTCATTTTGCTAGATCAAACTATAGCTGTGTGTTTGTTTGTTGTTGTTGCTGTTAGTATTTACAAGGAGCCACAGTTTGGTCTGCAGAGCGAAGGTTACACTTTGGTGCACTGCCCCACCAGGTCAGGAGTAACGTGCGTGGGGCCTTCTCATGTATTGGGCACCACGGAGGTGGCAGAGGTAACGTTTCCTTCTGAGAGGAACCTGCGGTGTCCTGACCTGCTTTAATCCTCTTTGCACCCCAGTCACCACAACCCTGTTCCATCTAAAAGATGGTGGCAAAATGTTTAGCCACAAATGGGTCCATCTGACAGTTTAAAAAAAAAAAAAAAAAAAGCGTTTTTTTTCTTATTTCAGAAGGCTTTAACGATCTGACTTGGGTGGCTTTAAACACAATAAACAATTACTTTTTAATTTGCTGGAACAGAGCACACGCAAATGACTTACATTTTAAAGGCACTAATGAATAATCACAAATTCGGTTAACACTAGCTAAAGCTTGAGAATTTTCTAAATCTTGGAACAAGAAGGCTAATGTCTGCTCAAACTGTTTTACAAAAAGGAATGTATAAGCGAGAAGTCCCAAAGGAAGGCTATTTGGAAACCAGTGGAGTAGTGAGATCTGTCCCATTTCAATATGAGTCAATGTTCACTATGTGCAATAGTGGTTACCAACAGCTTACCTTAGCGTTTGGGTTTTTTTTTTTTTTTTCAATATCTGTCATAACTTATTTTGTGAACTGAATTACAATGATGTGTAATTTTTGGATGACTCCTTTGTAGATTTTTTTTAAATACGTTCTTGCACTAAACTGGGAATTAGCATTTTACCCTGCTTCTGTGTTTTCATCTCCCTTTCAGCCCTCGGAGACTGCAGAATTCCACCTGGAGTGCAGCCAGCTGAGGACAGGGCAATAGTGTAAAGGATGGGTCTGTTTTTGGTAGAACAGACTTACGTGGCCAGCAGGGAGCTTGATTCCAGGCCTGTGCATTTCATTGCAGAAAACTTGTAACATCCAAGCCATGTTCTGCTTATTATTAGTAACTGCCATGGCTGAAGAAAGATCTGTTTTATTCAAGGTAGTCTATCAGGTAACACTAGCAGGTCTAGGTACCTAGTGCAACTTTAACCAGAATGAACAGTGCCACTGTCTAGAAAACTGGTAGTTCAAAACAGGAGAAGGCACTTGCAAATGCTGAAATTTTTTGATTGCTAAATGTTATTAAATAATTAAGGATGTCAGAACAAGAATGAGGGAAAAGCAGTGAATGTTGTTTAATCATGTGTTAAGCCTCCTGGATTTCCCTTTTGCCAACATAGAATATTATAGAAACTTTTAAAATAACCGCAGACTGCTTTGCTTAGTGGTCTATAACATGTTTTTGCCTTCATACTTCTCAGGTGAAGGAAGGAAACTTTGATGGGGCTTGAAGTTGAAAAGCAAGCCAAGTATTGGCAAATTCAAAATCTTTCAATTTCTTCTTTCTTATCCAATTTACCATCAAAATTGATGGGTACTCTGGCCTCCTTTCCAGAAGGAGAATGTAGTATCTCCAGTAAGGAATTCAGGGGAAAAAAGAGCAACAAGGAAACTCTAGTATGCAAAGTATGCAAATTTGATACAATATCACTTAGTTCATCTTCAAGCAGTCTGTCTAGTAAGGGTCTCTTCTTAGAATTTATAAATACTTACAGTCACACTGTAATTTTGCAAAATCTCCTTTCTTAGGTGTTTTCTAAAATTAGCCAAAAATTCCCTACATTGTGATTGCCGGAAAAAACGGAAGCTTCTTTATGAGTATCTCTCTGAAAGATGATGCGTTGTTCTTGTAGTACTTGGTATCTTTCCATTTTAAATTATGCTGAAGAAGGCGAAGGTTCCCCTGCAATTTTAGAGAAAAAAAGAAAAAAAGTGACATCTGTTTGTGTTTCCTGCTGTTGAGCGTCCTGGTGCTGCTCCTGCGCCTCTTCCTTGCGCACCTTTGGCACACGCTGTGGCTGCGGCCACCTCGCCAGAGGTGTCACGCCGTGGGAGGAACCCTGGGCAGCAGATGGGAAAGATCCCAGTGCTGTTCCAGGTGCTTCCAGAGCAATTAGGTTAGTTGTCACCTTCCGGTCTCGTCATACGGAAAGGAAACATTAGGCATCAACTGGTAGGACCACACAGTGCTCCTGAGATCAACGGCGACGAACGCAGAGCCTCCACATGTGGGAGGCTGCCAGCCTCCCAGTGTCTGCAGGGAGGGGGAGCCTGCAGAGCAGGAGGGCCTGTGGTCTTCCAGGGCCCGCTGCTGAGGGAGGAGAAGGTGCTGCTGCTCTCTGGAGTCTCCCCGCTTCTGCCTGTCTTCAGAGAACTGGTCTGGAGTCGGCCAAATCATCTACCTGCAGGTAGTCCCTGTTGGAACTTTCTGCAGGCCTTTGCTGGATGTGCACTCCTAGCTCCACAGGAAACTCCACGCAGGCCGTGGCTTTCAGCAGCTGCATGAACTATCCGTGGAGCCTGCACAGCCAGATCCAGGCATGAGGCTACCACAGCTGTTGTAATCACTGTGGGCAGCCCCTCTCCACGCGCCATCCCCTGGAGGTGGCACAGCTGCAGGAGCACTGCTGTCCTCAGTGCCAAACGAATGTACACCTGTAGGGATGAGTGCTGTGATCTGGCTGAAAACCAGCATTCAAGGAAACCCTGGGGGCTCTTAGAAGATTTTGGTGTCTTATCTCACACCTTTCTCTGGCTCCTGAACCCATCCGCCAGGAGGAAGTAGCAGCATAAACCTGCCCTCTCCCACAGGCCAGCACGTACAAATTCCATCAGGAATGAAATGAAGGGGAAGAGACAAAGTTTATGTCTGGAAAAATAAGGAAGAGGAGACAAGGAGAAATCTCCAAGGTAGCCGTGGGGAAAGGAGGATGGAGGCTGCATGTTTGAGCCACTCGGAGTGGGGGAGGACGGTTTGTGGAGGTGGTTACTGATACAAGTTAATAAGTAAAAGTCTGTCTCTGATGATTCTGTTCCTTAATTCCATTAGTGTGAAAGTTTCTGTGCAGCTGCAGCCTTCAGCACCAGCTTCTGCCTGGGGCAGCAGCCCGAGGGGCAGGACAGCCATGCAGTTCGTACACAGCCTGGTAGTTGGGAACTCCACAAGTGCCAGGTTTGCTGCTCTGGGTCTCTGAGACATGGGACCCTCGTCCATGAGGACACATGAGGTTGATAGTGCTAGAGGAGACTGTTAGGAAAGGTGAGTGATGTCCCCCACTTCTTCCAACACACAGGTGTGTTTTCTGCACCCCACACTTCTTCACTACCAGGTTTTTCAGCTTTTTACTCCTAGGAGGACGGCTGCTACTGTCTTTGCTGACAGTAGGAACTCTTCTCTGAGTTGATATAACTCATTGACAACTTTTTTGCATATACATTGAGGTAAATAAAAATATGTGACTTGCTGCCACTGGATTTCATAAAGCATTCTAGAATTCAGGCACTTAGTACTGCAATTTTTGTATTTGCAAGCAGCCTTAATTTTAATTTCCCTGAATATCTTGTCGGGTTATTATTATTTACCTCCTCCACTATACCTGTGTTCCTCTATAGAAGCTGGAACCCATCT